CCCAGTGCCAGGTACAGACGCTCCTCTGGCAAAAGAATTACACATAACTTTTGTCATGAAAATAAAATAGAAATAATTGGTTTGGTTTATCTTAATGAAAACTATATCTTCTAGGTAAGAGCAAAGAAAGAAGTGTTATAAAAATAGTCTCCTTTCTAAATAAAACAGCCTTTTGTCAATGTAGTTCAACAGCTTTCTACGTTCTTCTCTTGATGCCAAGATAATAATCTCCAAATGCTGTATTTTTTACATGACTGTTACCTTGTTTCTGTTCCTTGCCTGGCAAAGTTGTCATTTTGTACTTTTGTTATAATATCATGCTAAACATTCTGGCCGTTTGCTATTAGAGGAATAAGTTAGGTCTCTCAGATGGCCAACTGTCAAATGGCTATCACAAAGGACTACCCGTCCATTCTCCAGTGATGTATGATTTGTCCTTTCACTGAAGTGAAACTTGGGATTTTGACACTGAAAATCCAAGTTTTCCCATTCTGTTACTAAAGTATCCTATGCCTCACACAGGAGAAAGTGGTGAAGCTACACATACTGAGTCTAAACTTTCCATGATGGCATTGCAGTTCCCACAGCTTGTATCTGAGGCCAGATTCCCTTTAAAATTAGTTTCAACAAAAATGCAGTACAACCCTCAGACTTCTGGCATGATAGTACTATGGGCTGTGGTCATTCAAGATGTCACTAAACTTGATCCTATTTACAAACAGAAAATAGACAAAGGTTTCGTGTTAAAGTATAGGTTGGCATCAGTGATATCAGATATAGATTGATTTTCCTTGTAGGCATATAAATAGTTAGAGTATAGTTTGCATTACCTAAAAATGATCATATTTTTGTATTTTTTTACAGCTGCTGGATCAAGAATGAAGTTGTCTTTTATGTGACTTGTGCTGGATACTTTGGAATCATGTTTCTGATGAATGTTGCCATGTTTATTGTGGTGATGGTGCAGATCTGTGGGAGGAATGGGAAAAGAACTAATCGGAGCCTGAAGGAAGAGATCCTGAGGAACCTCCGTAGCGTGGTCAGCCTGACCTTCCTCTTGGGCATGACATGGGGCTTTGCCTTTTTTGCCTGGGGTCCCTTAACTCTTCCTTTCCTGTACCTCTTCTCAATTTTCAATTCACTGCAAGGTAAGCTGAACAAATAATATTTGAACTGTTGCTGTTCTGGGGCATATTATGTCCAGTGATTTGACTAGGAAGCTTAGATCAAAGCACTCTAGTTTTTCCCTTGATACTAAACTATCGTTAGTTTCCCTTTGTGTGAAATAATGATACCAACTACATATGGCTTGAATGTCTTAAAGTGATTAGCGCTTCAAGGTCTTTTCCATAAAATGCACTGTATAATAAATAATGCTGTTCCTAGCTGACAGTCTTCAGTGATCACTGCTGAGATAGATGCTGTATGACCTTCAACATTTCCTTTCACTGATTGTAACAACTATAGGAAGCCTCTGTCCTTAATTTATTCCTGTAGGGAATCTGTAAAGCTCATAACTATTTTATTAAGGCATGAGAAGCTCATAAAACAAAATTTAGTCCTGTTTCAATGTGGACAGGTAGCACAGAGATATGAGGTATCCTTCAGTTCTTTAAGGAAAATACAATGACTGTTAAAGTCAACTTTTTTTTGGTTACCTTTATCGAGGTTTTGAATATTTACCTTTCCAACATAGTTCATCCTTTTGAAAATGCTGTAAATTGTAATCACTTATAAATTACAGAATTGTATAGGTGACTTTTAAAATAATTTCAGCTCAGAGCTGAAATCTGCATATGTACCATTGTCTTCCAATGTCATTGGAGGAGCATGTGTTATTCCACACAAATACTGAGATAAGAAATAAATTTTCCCAGGGTCAGCAAAATATCTTCCCTTTACGAAAGAAGTACTTACTTTTGACACTGTGTAGATTTTATCTCTTACAGCTGAGGTATATTTACTGTGCCAGAAGATTTATTGAGCATTCGTGGAAAGAGAATAATGTTGTGGGTTTTGGTTTGGTTCAGTTTTAACCTAAAATACTTAGGCAAAATGGCAAAAATTGTTTGGATGTGGTGTTCTTACTAAAGATTTTTTTTCTAAAGGACAGATTCTGATACTCCTCTAGCAGCATAATGAAGTATTTGCTGCAATGTGTCTCTCTTAGAAATTTAGAAGGGCCTAGGGAGATTAGAAGTATGGGAAGAACATGAAAAAAGATTGAAACTCTGAAAAGCATGCCAAGGGCCAAATTGAACAAGTTCTCTGGAACCAGGATTTCCAGTGCAATCAATTAGGCTTATATGTGCACAGTACACACAAGGTTGACCACCACTGCTTAAGTCTCTGTTGGTTAATAACACTGTTCAATGGAAAATGAATATTTGGAAGACAGTCAAGTCAGAAGATGAAACTAAAAAAGCTGAGGAGTAAATGCAAAAAGAAGAGTGAGGAGCTTTTCACAGATTTTGATAGCAATGATGGCACAGTATATGATCAGGCATATCACATCAAGCACAGGAAGATAAAATCCCGTATCTCAAAATGCTTATTGCTGTGTCAGAAAGAGCTAGGCAAAGCTAAGGAAACAAGGAAATGGATATTTAAAATCACATATAACTGGTGCAGTGTACATGTAGCAATAAGGGGATGGAATGGAGCAAAGTTACAATTAGGATTTTTATCAGGAAGCGTTTCCTAGCACCAGAAAGCTGGGTGAAGTCTGGCAAGTGTTTCATCAGTATTAGAACAAGCTTCATTTTGAAGACCTCAGTAAACATGTTTATTCTCTCTCAAGGTTTTGAAACCTGCATGAGTATTTTAAGCTATACCAGCAGCCTCCATCAACAGTTTTCTGTGCACTATCAGTGAAAAAGTAAATTGCAGCAACTGCTGGTGTTACCGTACTTTGCTCTTTCATCTACATAGGAAATGATTTTTCTCTCTTTGACACTCAGAGTGAAAAAAACTGGGAACATCTTTTTTTGGCTGCTCATTTTATATATATGCCTGGGCAAGCCAAATACTTTCAAGTCAGAGCCAAGCCTAGGGTCTGATTTGGCTCTGGGAAGCAAAACCAAAACTCTGCTACTAAAGCACATTGTAAACTTAATGAATAATGAAATACAGAAAAAAAAATTCAGAGACCAAGCCCAGACAGGGCAAAGGCAAAGTACTTCATGCAGTACATTTGTTTTGTATTACTGTAGACATACACATTTTCTTTTTTAACTATTCAGAAAGGTCCAGACTTTCACCAGGACTTAATTCAGCATCAATTTAGTAAGTTTGTAGCTGTGCAGAAGTTTGAGCCACTAACAACTGCTTATCTCTAAGCCTTTAAGAGCCGCTAATGATTGCCTTGGAATTACTGTGTGCTTAAAACAAATCACACACAAAAATATTTTACTGAACAGAAAAACTGTAGTGCACCAGAGCTTGTGTGTGGGATGTATTAAGGTATATTTGCCTTTCCTAAATAGTGCTGCTCTTTTTTTTTTTTTTTTCCCTATCAGCTCTTGAAAAACTTTGCAAAAAAGGTGAAAAAGGTGTTTCATGACACAAGCTTTACCTAAGTTAACTGATCTCAGTGCTGTCAGCCTGGCCTGATGGCTATAAGCAAATAGAAGTCCAGTTCAATGGTACGCATTCATTCAAAATTAGACCTTAGCGCTTTGGAGGGAAGAGGATAATTTTATGCTCCAGAGCATTTTTTTCCAAGCTATACCCTGCCATTGTGCTCTACCAGCTGAAACATAGTAGGCATTAGTATACAGGACTATTCATGATGATCATAAAGGGACAGTTTTAGAGGATGGTACTTAACCACATTTGCCCACATTAGGTAGTATTTATTCACGTTTAAGATATAATCATGAGGGATTTGGCAGTGACATTTTGCCATCAGGTGTTCAGCCTCAGGCTGGCTCTCTCCCAGAGAATAAGAGTAAAACAAGAACAGACCAAACCAGAGAACGACGGAAGATTCCACAGCTAGCGCCTGCCTGGGAAGAGCCAGGAGCATATGAGCCTTCCAACTTCTGTATTTAGCTCCAAAATATCTCTGTAGAATGATGAAATCATACCATACGCCCAGTTAAGACCTCCTTTACCACATGGTAGTTGCTTACCTTCTGTCTTGAAAATAAATATTACACAATTGCATGCAAAAAATAAACTCTACAAAAACATTTTTAAACACATTTATTGCAATTGCATGCACAAACCAGGTAATTTTCTTAAGAAGTAAGTATCTGGACACCTAATTAGTATTTGAAAACATATTCTTACCATTTTCATAATCATTTCAAGTACATGCATGAGATGCACATAAATCAAAGTGCTCTTTTCCAGGGCATTCTTAAGTGCCAATTAAAAGACTTCCGGCTGTAAAAGTACAGCCCAGAGTTCTATAGATGTGGAACAGGAGGAGATAAAATATCTCCTTGCTAATATAATAGTGCCTGTATTTACTTTGCAGTCTGGTTCTTGCAGTCCTGTTCGGTGCAAAATACTCATTTGGTTCAAAGACAAAACCTTTTAATTATTTCCCTCTCAGCCAAAAAATAATTAAAAGATTCACACTGAACTGGATCTAAATCAACAGTATCAATAAAACAACAGTGTCTATTCTCTCCCTTCAGATTTCCCTTTCTCCAGTCACTGACATGGCAGCTAGAGGTTGGAAAAGATTTAATTAATTTCCATATCTCCTAAAGGAGGCATAGAAGACAGTAACGAAACTTAAAATTATTTTCCTTTGCTTGCAGTTCATAGTCTTTGTTTTAGCAGATGTTAGTTAATCTGTTTATTTATAAATACATGCTTCATTTGCTGTTTGTTTGCTTTGGTTGCAGGTTTGTTTATATTTGTATTCCATTGTGCTATGAAAGAAAATGTACAGAAGCAATGGAGGAGACATCTTTGTTGTGGCAGATTCCGACTGGCAGACAATTCAGGTAAAAGCCATTCATAGCTCCCCTCCTTAGGTGCTGCAGTAGTCTATAACAGTCCAGGTGAACAGCTTGCTATGTTATTTTTAATATAACACAATGTAAGCCAGAGATGTGGAAAAATAGATTAATCATAGCCTGTCATTTCACTTCAGTACTAACAATTGCCAAGGGACTTTTCATATATCACTTAATAAAAATGCTCAAGCCTTCTTTTTCAGTTTTTCACTGAAGGCAGCTGGTGAACTTTGTAGTGCTGTAAGCGTGATTTCAGAAGGCCCTTTGGACCCTGAAAAAATAAATACATAAATGAAGATCTAGAGATTCAAACTCTGTCATTAAAAAGCCAATCTTATCACTTTTCTCCTACATTACAGTTTGTTGACTGAATTGTGTGGATTGTAAGGTCGATCTAGGACCAATTATTAAAAAGCAGATAGAAATACTCTGACTTCTTTTGCTTTTGTCTTTGCCTTTTCAAACTGCTGTATACTTCACCATGTAATTCAGAGAGACCACTAAAGACTCAAAACTATAGAAAATTCCTTTTGCAGAAGCCTAATTAGGTTCCAGAATTGAAGTTCATCTTCAGCTGCAACTCTCAGAGAGCAAGGAGAGCAGATGGTTTGGATAGTTAAAAGTATAACATTTGGGACACTGCATTTATAGTCTCCTGCACCTTTGGCCATCTCAGATGGCATTAGACTCCTGTGTTTAGGAGCTAGATCTTGTTTTGCTGTCTGATAGAACCATACAATTTTTGCTTATACGATTGTTGCTCAATGACCAGGGTTGAAATCTATAGTTGATGTAAGGTGGCATTAAGCTCATTGCCTAGTAAGGTAAACTCATATATCCTGGATAATAACACTGCTCCAAATATCCTTTGTCTCTTGGCATCCAAGATTTGTTTCAAGTTTTTAAGTAACTTCTTTGCCATCAAGACTTCTGCTTTGTTTTGCTCTATTTTGTTTAGGGAATGCATTGTCATTGTACACTATAAAACATTTATGCTTTCACTTTGTACTAAGAAAATCTGATTCATGATTTTAAAGAGTTAATACAAATTAGGAAAAGCATATTCATTCTGATCAGGCATCCAGATTGTTTCATCTGCTCAGTTTCCGTGTGGTTCATGCTGTAATTCCTGAATTGGAAAACACAGATGGATCAAATTATTTCCAGATTTTTATGCTGCTGTTGTGGGTATGATAGAAATAAAAGCCTGAAGGATTTGAGTACTTCAGTGGTATAGTTAATGTGCAGCCATTATGCCTAGCACTAACCAGTCCAACCCCATCGGCTGGTTTGATTCTCCATGAACCTGGCATAGTTTTCAGGCAGAACAGTGAAACATACCCAAATGTGAACTTACATACCTATCCAGTTGAAGAATACTTTAGGGCATGCTATGAAAGGGCAAAGAAACAAACAAGCTAAGCCTGGCAATACTGCCATACCTAGATCAGAGAAATAGTAACCTATACCCTACAGCAATGTTTTAAGATAAAATATTTGTCTTGATTTGAATCAAGACAAAAGTGGTCCATGTGCCTTTGGTTTGGACTTCTCTTCCACTTTTTGAGTTTAATTGCAGTAGAGTGAATAATGTACCTACCTGCAAGTATATGATAAAGTAGTTAGATATGTTTATTCTACTGTTATTGGGACACTTGTGATGAATTTTTAGGTGTTGGTTTTCCTCAACAAGTTTACTGGTATTAATTAGCTATTTTATTTAATTTATGAAGAAAATTTTACTACTGTGGTAAACAGCAAAGTAAATTAAGTTGGAATAATTCTTGTATTTCTTAAGAACAAAAGAGGCTACCTAACAGGAAAAGGACAGGCTGTGTGTTAGAACCAACATTAAGAAATGATCTGATACTTGAAATGTTCACAATTGAATAAATTAGGCGTTTAGTACTTATGGTAATTTATTTATGTAAAACTTTTCAATCATTTTTAGATTGGAGCAAAACAGCAACCAATATTATAAAGAAGAGTTCTGATAATCTTGGGAAATCCCTATCTTCTAGTTCCATTGGCTCCAATTCAACCTACTTAACATCCAAATCAAAATCTACAACGAATACATATTGCAAACGAAACAGCCATACAGGTGAGTTCTTGCATCTGTGAATATGTAGTTTTCATGTTAAAGGCACAATAGGGTTTTCCACCCAAAGGTTAATGTGAGAAAATTTCATCCATTTGTATATGCTCGGTATTTTTAAAATATATGTTACTGTTCAACACGAATCTTACTGTTATTTTCTCAGTAACCAATATTCAGTGCATCCATCAGCATGAGGGGCTATGCGTCAGGTATTTTATGACTGTATGTCTTTCTTGGTTATTGAGATTCATAGAATCATAGAACGGTTTGGGTTGGAAAGGACCATTCCAAGAAAGATTGTACATGAAGAACATTTGCTTTGAATACAGTAAAAATGACCAGTATCTTAGAAATACCCCGGTGTACCTGAGCTTGCTTTCAGGACTGCCTTTCGCAGCCATGCTGGAGCAAACATCTGGGGCCTGCCTCACCAGGGTACCTGTCCCTGCTGCCATCTCAGGTTTGATGTGCCATGCGCCCAACTGCCCTAAGCAACCTGTCTTCAGCATTCTTTCCTATGAGGGGACACTTCTGTCAGCAGTCTTCCACAAACAGCATCTATAATAGTCATCTATGACAGTGCTGCTCGTAATTTAATAAGAGAATGGAGAGCTTTGTCCACTGCAGAGCAACTTCTCTTCTGCAGACAGAAAATTCTCATTTGTACTCATGGCAGACCAACATTTAGAGCCTTAGTATTGGGGTTAATGATAAAAATATGCTTGAATGTTTTGTTGGACTCAGGGCTTTTTATCAGTCTGACAATTAAAGATACTTAATGCTAGAGCTTTTGCAATGCATTCTTAAAGCAAAACAATAGAACAGTTCCAGATAAGAAGTTAAAAGAAACTTGCATGCTTGTGTACTTTCTTCAAAAGTGATGAGCTTAATCCCATGCATAAATTATTTCCTAAAAGGGACTGCAGTTGGTAATGTAATCATAGTTTGTAACATGATGGTTTATTGGGCGTTAAGGGAATACCACAGTTTTCTCTCTACTTTTAAGATTCTAATACATTTTGCTTTGACCTCTGAAAATACACATTTTATTGTGATAATCCAAGGGAATTTTTGCTAAGGTTGGGTTTTTATATAATGACATATCTTTTCACATGTTAAAGTAATAGAAAATAACATTCAGATTCTGATTTTTAATGCAGCTAAAGTTGTTTGATGTCTTAGCTAAATTGGAGACAAATAATGTAATAGCTAACATATCTTGGCAACTCTTCTTAATATGGTTATAATGTGCTCTCTGGAATTGACACAAGCATTCATGTGTTTGTGGTATAGATAATGTCTTCTAAAGCCCTTTCCTCATCAGTGGTGGAGCATTACAGGTAAAGTGAGAATTGCTTTTGTTGGATGCATGTGTCAAACAGGGTGGAGGGATGCCTTTTGCATGATGTCCTCATTGACACAAAGGACTTCGCTAATCAGAAACGCTGCTTGTTTCTCACTATTACATCTTGCACCATTGATGCTGAATCAAAGGATAAGCGAGCTTCAAAGTCTGGGTGTCTGCACTCTGCATGGGGCCTAAAGCATTTGGAAGATACTTTTTTAGAAAATAGACCATGTCCTGACACTAATGCCTGTGTACAGTAGTCTGGGGAAAGGATATTGAGTTGAAACACCCATACACAAAGCGTACACAAATATTGGGTGGACCCTACTGGGTGAAGGAAAGGGATCACTTCAGCATCTTGTGTCCCCGTTGTCTAGGGGTCTGATATAATCTTGTAGATAGTACTATATATGACACTTCTCTGAATGAGAAGATATGATTATTTCTGCAGAAAATTTGGTGGTACAACTACCAATTACTTCAGTGACACAGGATTTTAACCCTGTACTTAAGTGCAAAGCCCACTGGCCTAAAAAAAAAAAGAGCCTTCTGATGGTTTCAAAAGCCTTATGTAATTCCTGTGCATGCAAATTTCATGAGGAAATGCCTGGTATTTAACATTGTAATGATGCCTTGTGAAAAAAGAGTGTATGTATTTGCAAGGAATTTCAAAAACTTTCCCTAAAGGCTGAGAATTAACTTTGTAATAAGCTATTAAATGTGCAGAAATATTTCAAAATGTAGTACCATTGGCTGGTAAATGCATACACTGGAAAGGCACACAGTACTCAGCAGATTGCTATTGGTCATGGCCTTATTTGCTGCAATTCATGGACATTATTGCGTGCTTTGAAAAAATCATCCTGATATGCCTGAACATGCCTGTTTCTTTTGTCATGAGTAAAACTCTGTTGATCTCTTGCTCTGCAATCCATTTCTCCTTTGCAACACTTTTTATGGCTTGATATCATGACTTCTGCAGGGGCGGGTTACTTTTCTGTTTACTTTTAGTTAATTTATTTCTGTAAGATTTTTTTTGTATGAAATCATAGTTTAAGTAATAGGCTAAATTATTAAATGATCCTTTAGCAAGGAAATTTTGAAGGTGATTTCACTAGTCGTGTAAATAGTCTTGTAAAAATGTCACTTGTAGAAAACATTGCTTCAGAGGATACATACATGGCTTGCAAGGGTCCAAAACTTGCCTGGGTTAAGAGAATTAATTCCAGCTTTATTCACTGCAGTAGAAGGATAAGATAGCTCATTAGGACTTTGTACTTGAGAAAATGAGATACGGGCTCTCTCGTCTCATTGCTCACTGCATGAGCTCTACCTACTGACCGTTCTCGGAACAGCAACAGTGTTAGCCGCGGAAGCACTTTAGCAGCCCGGCTGGGAAATGCCTTGCGCTCCACCCTTGGTTGGTAGCACCTGAACTGTGAAGGGATGCCAGTTTTCTGCATCTTTTTCTCCCCCCAGTTTTTCAGTACCCTCCATATTATGGACAAAACAAAGGCATGCTAGGCAAGTCAAATTTATGCCAGTTTCAGTCTGGTTGTCTTCTTTAAAATGCAAGTCATCTTCTACTGTATCTTGCACAGAGTACATTATTTCTGTGCATAGCCTAAAATCTCAGCTATTGAAATAATTAAATCCTTTTATTGTCGTTTTCCCCTACTTTATTGTGTGGAGATGTTATTCACCAGGTGTTATGGAGGTAATCCCTATTTCAGTGCTAAAAACATCAAAATTATTTTAGTTTGTAAGATTCAAAGCATCAACAGTAAATTAATGTATTAAAAGGTAATAGGAGACAGCTACACTTCAGGCAAAAGAATAGTGGGAGAATTTCAAGAGAGACCTTGAGATGTCTGCCCACAAAACGAAGCATCTCAAAAAGAATTTAGAAGAAGCAATGCCAAGCCGGAAAGTTCTTTGCTGGCCTTTTGGGCAGTAATTTGATTCAGCAGTAGTGGCAAATGAAGGCATATCTATGTGGGAGTGATACTGTTAGACCTGTTAAACTATGAGTTTGCTTAAGAAGCCCTAACTTCTTCTTGTTGTTTTGTCCTCTTTCTAGACAATGTTTATCTTGACAAGCCATCTTCAAAATTTGCCCAAGAGGATGGAGAACAGACATCAATTATCCCTGTCCACCAGGTTATTGACAAGGTCAAGGGATATTGTAACCCTCACTCCGACAACTTCTATAAAAATATCATCATATCCGACACATTTAGTCACAGCACAAAGTTCTAACTGGGCTTCTGAGTTTTTTAAACTGAAGGAAGGCAGAAAGTCTTCTTGGAACTAAGAATACCGGATGTCATAGAATGTGACCTGTTTAGTTATTTTTTCCCAGTTCATAATACTCTCCTGTTAACAGCTCCCACTCAAGGACTGATTTCCCTACCTTTCTACTGTTGTGGAAAAAGACAATTTTTCCACCATGGTATTGAGCTGTTTTTAAATGTGTGCCAGCCAACATGATGCCTGGACAGCTAATTGTAATCCTGTGTAAATATTTTTTAAGACTGAAGAGCCACAAGCCTATCTCTAAATTATATAGTCCAGACAGAAGTGAGTCTTAACTCATGGAGAAAATAGCAGACATGACACGCAGTACAGAAAAACTCTTACTGAACAGTTTACTGATGGTCTGTTTCTTTTGAAAATTATGTATTTTTCCCTCTGACATTTGTTAGATTCTTGCTTCTTGACTGTCTAGTGCTGTCTGGTTTTTATTCATAAGTGAAAAACCCTAACACCAGTGTTAAAGGGTTATTTTAAACCATTTTTCACTAAATAGACCTAATCACGCAAATCTTGCTTACCAAAAGAGTATGTGCTGTAAATTCAGGCTATTTTGTATCCATGTACAAAGAAACACACTTATTACATAGATGTGCTGGCTGAGAAGGACATGCAGGTCGTTAGTAACTCTTGCAGATTTTAAACCCATTGGTATATATGGAAACACAGTCATACGTATTATTTGCATCTGTGCACAACAAGTACACAGGTAAATCCAAAGTTTACACAAGGTCATGTTTCAATATTTATTGGTTGGTATGTATAAAATGGACATCTCCCATCACAATTCTATGTTTAATATTCTTTTTCACTAAACAAAATAGAAGACATGCAGCTATATATAGATGTATAAGTATATACATAGGACTCTCTCCACACGTTTTTATAATAATGCACACAGTAAATATGACAGGAAACCACAGTGTGTTCCACAATTGAAGAAAAATGAACGGTGCTAAAACTTAAGTTTAAGTATTTAAATGAAAGTTGAATACTTTGTAAACCCATGGGTTCATTTGTTAGTCTCTGTACTTTAGATATGCTGTATGTATAGACACCTCCATCACATGGCATTGCAACATTAGAATAACCTGGAATACGTTTACCAGTAATAAATAAATAACATCCTTCCGGGCACAAAATGTTATTAGTATTCCTCTCCTGCCCCCCTGTTGGTTGACTTGATTGAGGTTGTTGGAGGCACAGAGTTTAAACAGCATTTAGACATTGCTGTACTGTGTGCACAGCGACACTGAGTTTTATGTGTGCAGAGAACAGACAAAAACATAAAATGCTTACGTGTTTTAATCTCTGTAAATGTGTGACACATTAGCATGTGGCCATGACTGCCAGAAGAGCATCTCTCCTCAGGAAGCATGTCTTGCCCCATGACAGGTTTTATAAAAATTGTAACCGCACAAGTTGCTGAAGGAATAGGCCAAAACATCAAAGGTATTTTTAAATACTGTTTTCAGAGGAGAATGTTTCCTCGTGGAAGTTTTCATTTTTGAAAAGACTTTTCTTTTTTTTTAACAAAAGCATTTGTAGCCATGTATTTATTTATAGTACTCAGAAGGGACCAGAAAATTGTGCTGAGATTTTTCAGTTGCCAAGCAGGTGGATGTTCAGTTATTAGGGATGTGGATTTGTGCCTCTCTTTGCTCTTTGCGTGTGCTTTTGCGTGCAGAGATCATTTAATGCTGTGACCGCACAAATGGCATGTTTTCCCTGGCTGCAAACACCTGGTGGGAGGAGGATGCCCTGATGGCATTCTGTCCAAAAACACTGCTGTCGCTACACGGACCTTAGTGAAACCTCAGTCTCATAACTACAAATACTTACATGGTGGTTATGAATTAAAGTCAACCTGATTCACTTAAAATCTAATTATTAACAGGGATGAGTGTTGTCAGATATCTTTAATAAGGGAAATGATTTAGGGAGAGATTACGTACAAGCATTTACTGAATTTACATCATCCCACTTGCTTACCTACTGTAGATACTAGTGTTCACATAGCAGCTTATTGTGAGATTTTCACCTGATTAAGGTGTTCAGAAGTGAAGAGAAGGATAACCAAACATTCCTGGAAAAATGAGGAATAAATAAAACATAACAGATTAGTGAAATATAAATAAAAAGCAAACATCGTATCCTGACTGAAGCTGAGCTGTAACCTATCAATGTATAGCTACCTATATTTTTGCTGAATTAAGATTTTTTCTCTTTTTTTTTTTTACTACCATGTAGTAATCTTAAACTGTGTCAGTTAGATGCTCTTGAATGCTCTCAATTCTACAATGTAATATTCTACTTTGTAGTTGACATGCTGTAACCTCCCTTGTATATATTTATTTATTTGTGAGGTTAAATATGTCAAATATATTTAGCTCTATCATGACTGTTCTTGTACTTTACAACTGAGCTTCTGCTTCATCATAGAAGAAGAGGGAAAGAATAATTTCTTATATATGTTATTTCTGAACACCTTGTGAAGCGATTTACTGTAGTTCTATCTTTTATAAGTGTGAGGAAACATGCCAGTGTGATTTGTAATATTAGTCAGTGGAATATAGTCTAACAGGTTTGAAGATGGACTAAAGTGGAAAGAATCATTTTCAAGTAAACATTCTTGATGTTAGTGTTCCAAGTAATTAAAGTCTTTTAATAGTGAATGGTTGATTTTTATTTTTTTTTTTCCTTTTTAGTGTTTAATGGCAAAAATTACTCAGTGGAATTCTGGAAAATAATCTTGTGTTTATTAAGTATGTGAGACAGGTACATGCCTAGCCAAAATGTTGGAAATAAATGTAGAAGACACTCCATCTCATCAGAGGAATGCATTTTGCAGAATATGAGTTTTCCTTTTATGATTTACTCAGTGCCACATCCAGTGAATGATCTGAAAGTTATGCAAGTTCATTTATTTATGGTAGCAGCCATGTCATAGAAATGAAAGGAAAATCAAGGCAACAAACAATATGCTGGGATGATCTTTTAGAGTTAACGCAAATGAATAATGTAAAACTGCAGTTATTTCTGTTCATATGTTTCTTTCCAACTGACTGTAGTCCCTCATTATCAATAACTTGATTCAACTTATAATCATACTTTGAATGACCACTGCTGAAATATTATAGTCAGCCAATCACTTGATTAATGCACACTAATGTCTAAACATTAAATTTAACACACTAATGGCCTAGCTTTAAATATTTACCTTTAAAGAATACAGAAACTGGTTAAAATATGTCAGCTTTGCTCCCCTGTATTTAAGTTTCATCACAGAAAATGCACAGAATATGAAGATTTAGCAGTAATACTTTTTAGAAAGCAATCAAAAAGTTCCCATGTCATAAGTGGCATTTATTAACGAGAATGGTGAGCATGCCTGTGGATGGTCTGTCCACATGTGTCAGTGGACAGTGAACATTACCTTTGAGCTTTATGCCTTGAACAGTGTGGGAGGACCCTCTGAGGGAAGGAGCCATGTTTTTTCCAAGAAGAATCTTGGCAGATGCTAAACTTGTAGGGAGTGATTTGCAGCATTTGGGGGTGGATTTATATTTCTCCTCATTTCATCACTTTTTAAATATCAAGAACAATTTTATTTTAATCCTCTACTTTTAACAGCTTCCTACTGTAACCCATTGAGTTACATAAAATGCCATTTTGTTTTATTACTTTTGAAAGGCTGATCTATAATCAGACACATCTATGTAACCACAAGGACAGCTACTGAGTTACAGGGCAACAGTGTGTCATTCATGGAGCCATTATAACAAAAGTTGTTATGCATTTACTATATATAAAGACCTAAAACCATATATGGGTCAGCAAATTAGGCAGAGGGCTTAGAAGTTAACGTCAGGGAAAGCAATCATGCAAACCAGGTTGTGGAGCAACTGTCTCATGCCCAGTGCTTCAGCTACTGCTATGCTTAGGAGGCTTTTGCCTTCACCCCCTGCTTAGCTGGTCTTTGGTCACTCAGTCCATTTAATTTTCAGATCTCCTGACCCCATCCTGTCACTCCTATCGTTAGAACAATCATTTGCTGCAGTGCTAAGGAAAGGAGAAAAGAAATAAAGGGAGACTGAAAGGGAAAGGGTAGTTGTCAAGGCCTGCTTTGCATCTTTATACTCTTTCTACATGATATCTTGCCCCTTCCTCAAGATATGTTACCCTGACCAGTGACAGAGGCAGGCCATTAGACTAGGTGGAACACACCACTATGGCTGTTTGTGCACTGTCAAAACTAATTTTTTTGACCCTCCAGCTTTAAGCTGATGATCTGCTATGGTTCTTCAAGGCAGCAACTCCAGTATTTCTGTGCTTGGAGACTGACCTAGCAATACTACCTCTGTAGTTTAGGAAGAATATCATGCCCCTCATGATGCGAAATCAGTCTGATAAGGTTCAAGCACCACACCAGAAATAGCTAAATAAATCTCCTGGAAACTTCTTCTGGAAAGATAGGCCTTCCTCAGATACATCTGCTTGCTCAAGACCAATGCTATTATTGGTCTAAGATTAAACCCAGACTTCGTACCTATGAGGAAAGCACATTGTGGTGATACATAACAAAAGCCGTCTGACAGCAGCTTCAGTGACATGGTTTTCTTGAGGTATACTGAATGAACTACCTTACAAAATAAATGCCAGCTTGAATCTTTAGCATGTACAAAATAGCCTAGACTGGGCTTTTTGTATCCAGACTATTATAGTAAGAGTTCTCAAAAAACATAGCTTTAGATAGAATAGTTCTCAAAAATCCCTACAGTATTCCATTCTCCTCTCCAAAGCATAGGAGAAAGAACAAATGCTGATAGCTCTGGTCTGATGTTTCCTTCCACTGCTAGTTTTTTCCTACCCTGGGAGCTCACCGAAGCAAGAGAAGAGGGCTATAGTAGGGGATTGCATCCTGCTCTGCCCAATGGGCACAGGGATCCTGCTGTCCCTGTCCTGCTTTTTGCAGTGC